ACCTGCCTGTGTAGATTAAGTTAAAAATCTGGCCACGTTAAAAACAAGAGTCCTACAATTCCATTTCTAGGTATATACTCAAAAGAATTGAGAGCAGGGACTTGAACAGATATTTGTACACTCATATTCATAGCAGCATTATTCATAAAGGCCAAAAGGTGGAAACAACCCAAGTGCCTCTCAATGGATGAATGGGTAAACAAATGTGATATATCCATACAATAGAACACTATTCCACCTTTAAAAGGAAGAAAATTCAGACACATGCTACAACGTGGATGAACCTTGAAAACATTATGCTAAGTGAAATAAGCCAGATACAAAAGGACAAATTCTGCATGATTCCACTTATATGAAGTACCTATGATAGTCAGACTCATAGAGATAGGCTGTTTGTTGCCAGGAGCTGGGGGAAGGGGGATGGGGAGTTAGTTTAATGGGTATAGAGTTTCGATTTGGGAGGATGGAAAGGTTCTGGAGATGGATGGTGGTGATGGTTGCACAACAATGTGAATATACTTAATGTTGCTGAATTGCATGCTTAAAAATGGATAAAATGGTAAATTTTATGCTTTTTTAATCACAATAATAATAATAATAATAAAAGATGTACAGGAATTTGCCAGATGAACAAGATTGAAAAACTTATTGCCAGTGGATTAAACGTAATGAAATCTGACCTCCGCTGGCCTTGGCCTCCGGCTGCAGCTCTGAGGAGGCTTCCTCGAAAGCCTGATCTGCCAGCAACTTCCACGTTGGACTCCCAGAAGGGGCGGGCCCCAGGAACCACCTATTTTTTTATTTCAATAAATTTAGGGGGCACAAATGATTTTTTGTCACATGGATGAATTGTACGGTGGTGAAGTCTAAAACAATATTGATTATCTCACAGTTTCTGTGGTCTGAGAGCCTGAAATCAGTGGTTCTGCCTCAAGGTCCCTCATGAGGTGGCAGTCAGGATGTTGACAGAGGCTGCAGTCATCTGAAGGTTTGGCTCATTCACATGGCTGTTAGCAGAAGGCTCAGTTCCTCATGAGGTGGGCCTCTCGTGGGGTTGTCTCGGGGCATGTCCTCCCGGAATGGGCCCTTCAGGAAAGAAAGAGAACAAGGAGGAAGCCAAAGTACCTTCTGTGACTAGTATCCAACTTTGCACACGAAGACTTCCACCTTATTCTATTCTTCAGAGACAGGTCATTCAATCCAGCTCACACTCAAGGGCAGGGGCTCTTCCTTTTGAAGGGAGAAGTATCCAAAAAAGTAATGAATATTTAAATACCATACACTAGATTTGTTCCTGAGACTGCTGTAACAAAGTACCATAAATTAGGTGGTTTAAACAATAGAAATTTATTGTCTCACATTTCTAGAGGCAGGAATTAAGTCCAAGATCAAGGTGTCAGCAGAGTTAGTTTCTTCTGAGGCCTATGGAACAGAATCTGTTCCAGGTCTCTTTCATAGCTTCTAGCAGCCTTAGGTGACCCTTGGCCTGAGGATGGCCACCTTCTGCCTGTGCCTTCACGCTGTTTTCCTTCTCCACGTGCCTAATTCTGTGTCCAAATTTCCTGTTTTTATAAGGGTTAGTGTCATATTGGATTAGGGCTCATCCTAATGACCTCAATTTAACATGGTTACTTCTGTAAAGACCCTATTTCCAAGTAAGGTCGCATAGAAGGTATGGGGGTTAGGACTGTAACATCTTTTTGTGGGACACAATTCAACAAGGTAATGGTGATGCTCTTACTCTGGTCTAATCTACTCCCTGGTTACACTGACGAGAAACGTAGGGTTCCATAAGCTACGTGAACCACTAAGTGTCAAAGAGTGAGTCTGTGGCAGGTCTTGGATGAGAACCCTGATTGCTCGATCCGTAGTTAATTCACCTTTCATGAACCACCCAGTGTTTGACCATCTTTGATCCAATGTTCGCTGGAGATCTGTGGGACCCATTAACCTTTGGGTTTTTCCTAGGCTAAAGATTCTCATATTGATCCACCAAGTTCTGCAGTTCCAGGGATGCTTTCTAGGAATCCTTTAAAGGTGGAGGCAGGGTATCAATTTTCTGGGGCCTACATCATTCAGAATTTAAGCTACGCACACTGGAGGGGGGAGACAGAGAGAGAAAGTGATAAAGGAGACAGGAATAAGGAAATGATGTATGAGGAACACAGGTAAAAAAAATAACAATCGTTTCAGTTTACACTCCTGCCACAGCCTGCCACACCGTTCAGTGTCAGAGCGAGACGGAAGGTGAAAATCAACTCTTCCTGTTAGATGTATATATATTTGTAGTATTTCAAGAATGATAACAAAATGCACACCTATGGATCCATCAGTCATCTAGAGATGAACAACATTGTCAGGGCATCCGTGCCCTGTACCTGTTCTCGCCATCTTTCTCCCTCCTCCCAGGAGTATTTACTATCCTGAATTTTGTGTTTCTCATTGTCTTGCCTTTTTTTATGGTTTTACTACACAGGGATAAACTCTTAAACAATATCTTGCTTAGTTTTGCCTATTTTTGAACTCTATGTAAATGGAATCCTACTGTATATGTGCACCTGTGATTTCCCATTCTTTACTCCACCTGGTGAAACTCATCCATGTTCTTATGTGTAGCAGATGCTCATTCATTGTCACTGCTGTGTGGTACTCTCTCACCCATCCATCCATCCTCCTATCCATAAACAGGTTATTTTTGTTGTTACCAAAAAAAATGTTTCTAGGAACATTCTTAGAAATGTCTCCTAGTGCACTGTGCAAGACTTTCTGCAGGGAAAGTCAGGAATGTAATTCATAGATTGTGAGTGCGCTTTTATTAAGTTTAGTAGGTCATTGATTAGTTGGTTGATTTCATGAGGGTTGTACCAATTTAAAATTCTCTCAGCAGTATCTAAGAGTGCCTGCTACCCCATTATCTCAACAAAACTTCGTGTTAGTCCAACATTTTGGCTCTCCTGATGTTTACCTTACAGGCTGACTTTAGAACCAAACCCTCACATTAGACATGACCCCATCATATTGGACTTTTGATACCTAAGATGCCTCATGCCTACCACTTGATAAGTGTTCAATAAATGAGAAAAAAAAAATGAAAGGAATCTAAGCTTTTGTCATTTGGTAAATTACAGATTTTTTTTCATATTTTAAATGTTTATCAACACATTCCAATTTTTCATTGGAAAGAAAATTAAGTACCCAATGTTAACCTATAGCAGAGTATTTGTTCCCAAACTCAAAGGCTACCCAGGAAATTTAATGCAGTAGAACAAGTGTCGCCCCTAGAGATGGAAAATGTACTACATTTGCTTTACTGTAGAGTCATGCATGGCTTAACAATGGGGATGTATTTTGAGAAACATGTCCTTGTGCAATTTTGTCATTGTGTGTCATTGTGCAATGTCTGTGTAAGTACACATGATACACTTGATCTTAGCCAAAAGGCAGAGAAGTGATGTGTAAGTGCACATTATAGAGTGTACTTACAAAAACCTGGTTGGTACAGCCTGCTATACACCTAGGCTATGTGGTATGGCCAATTGCTCCTAGGCTACAAACCTGTACAGCATGTTACTATACTGAATACTGTAGGCAATTGTAACAGAGTGGTATTTATGTATCTTAACACAGAAAAGGTACTGTAAAAATATGACATAGAAAAAAAAAAAAGGCACACCTGCATTAGGGTACTTACCATGAATGGAGCTTACAGGACTGGAAGTTGCTCTGGGTGAGTCAGTGAATGAGTGGTGAGTGAATGTGAAGGCCTCGGACTTCACTGTACACTACTGCAAATTTAAAAACTACTGTACACTTAGGCTACACTAAATTTATAAAAGCAATTTCTTTCTTTAATAATAAATTAACCTTAGCATACTGTAACTTTTTTACTTAATAAACTTTTTAATTTTTTTAACTTTTTGACTCTTGTAATAACAGTTTAAAACACAAACACATTGTGCAACTGTACAAAAATGTTTTCTTTCTTTATATCCTTACTCTCTAAGCTTTTTCTATTTTTAAATTTTTTTCACTTTTTACACTTTTTTGTTAAAAACTAAGATGCAAACACACAACTATGCCTAGGCCTACATAGAGCCACAATCATCACTATCAATGTTTCCCACTTGCACATCTTATCCCACTGGAAGGTCTTATTCAGGGGGCAATAACATGCATGGAGCTGTCATCTCCTATGATAACAATGCCTTCTGGAATACCTCTTGAAGGACCAGCCTGAGACTGTTTTACAGTTAACTTCTTTTTTTTATAAGTAGGAGTACATTCTAAAATAATGATAAAAGTATAGCATGTAAATACATAAACCAGTAAGACAGTTGTTTATTATCAAGTATTATGTACTATACATAATTGTATGTGCTAGAACAGTTAAGAAAATACAAGAGTGAGGGCTCGGGAACCGAGAGTGGTTTGGCAGCTGCTAGAGGGGGTCTTCACCTGGATCCAGAAGAATGCGGGAAGTTAGAGAGGAGGTGAAAACCCATGCTAGGAAGCAGGCGGACACGACCAACGCTTGGAGTCCATTCGAGCATGAGAGAGGACACACCGGAGCGGACTGGTGCTAGAGAACCGTGAAGTCCGAAGGGGAGGGAGGGAGGTGCGGCCGGCTGCGCAGCCAAGGTTCAGGGACAGCCCGCTCAAGGTGCAGCAATGCGCATGAGAAGGAAGGGTTGGCTAAAGAGCCACGTGGAAGTGAGTGCCAAGGAGACCTGGAGACCAACTGAATCCAAATGGGAAGACTAAAGGCTAAGCTCAATGACTAACTACTCCGCCCACTCCGGGGTCGACACTGGCCAGGGGGTGGAGTCTGACACGCCCCGCGGGCTTCACGCACCCAATCATCGATGAGTCGCCCCTGGCCACAGGACACGCCCCCTGGTCTTAAAGCCCGGGGAAGCTTTTTCTCCCGACAGCCTCAGGAACCTGGCGCCCATCAGCGCCTGCGCAGTCCCCAGGCCCCACCCTCTCACCCCTCCTGGCCGGGGTTTCCCACAGCCAACATGGCGGCTCCCTGTGTGACCTGCGGCTGGGCAGTTTCCTACCGGCTGTTTCTCGCAGGTAGGATTAGCCTCGCCCGGAGGCACGGCCTCTGGAAAACCGCGGCACCTGAGTTGCAGACAGGTACCGGATCCCAGGTAAGGCCCAGGAGAACTGGAAGCGGAGGTCTCTGTAGCGCGAGGATGTGAAGCCGGTGCCGCCACCTTACCTCAGTGTCTGTTGTGCCCTCAGGTGGAAACCCTGGGGTCTTCGGTATTTAGTAGCGGTCTGAGGTTGGAGGTGAGGAGGTGGGTGCAGAAACACTGACGCAACAGGGGAAAGGAAGTCTTGTTAAGCTATTTTTGGGTTCTCAGTGGCGACCCTTACTAGCATGCTTCTTCCTATATACCAATTTTGTGGTGTGCATGTTTCATAGTAACACCTAGATACAATTGCAAATATCTGTGTCCCAAATTTGGGGCAGAGGAGGCAGTCGTACTCGTGAATGGCCAAACTTTTAAGATTGGATTTTATGTATACTTATGGATATCAGGGATCTTCAGTGTACTGTGAGATTTACAGAGGTAAATACAGAAGAACACAGACGTGCAACGCCTAATTCAGACTAGAGTGCTAGAGGCTAGAGTGATTATCATGGGCACCTTCCCAGAGAAGGGAACACAACTTAATGTAGGAATGCTAGTTTTACTTTCTATAATATTTATGATTTTTATAAAAAGGAAAAATAGACTGGTTGCTATTTTGAAAAATAATGCTATAAAATATTGATAGGATGTCTTCTTAAGTTTTACTTTTTACTAAGCACTTTCTTAGTGCTTAAGTGTTCGGTTTTTACTGAGCTGATAGCCCCTTGTTGATATGGACTGTCTGATGACTGATATCATTTAACATTTGATAGCCTAACTTACATGTTTTGCTTCCACTGTAAACACATTCCCATCTCTGTCTAACATATCTGTTCTTTTTCTCTCTCATGGACTCCTTGAGGTCATAACATATTTATCACAGCATTCCACTGGTCTACAGTAGGGTCTTAATAAATTTGATTGGTAAATGGCTAAAACCACTTTGAAAAACAAATTTTAAAATTGACTTACATTTGTATCAGATGCTTTATACAGTTCTGTAAATTAGTTATGCCATCCAATAATTTTTGAATATATTTTTTAATCTGAGTTAAGAGTTCTTATATAGGCATGTGTGGGTACATACATGTGTGCACATATGTGTACATCTAAATATCTGCTGTGTTATTAGCAATGGAAAAGAAAACCCCTTTGGTGGGATATTTTGCTCCCTTTGAGAGCTCATCCTGTCCTTGTAAGGATAGAATTTAGTGTGTTCCTTATTGCTTTAATTATGGAAAATATCTCTACATTAAAATTTGTGTTTCCTCATGTAACAATTTAAAATTTCTTATGTAAAGACAGCTTTATAATAGATGCTACCATCATTCCAATCTGTTTTCCTTATAAAACAAGATAAGTAAACTTTCTTATACTATGCTTCATATGCTATGCTTCATTGTTGTAATTAGGATGATGAATGTATTAGTTATTTATTGCTGCATAACAAATTACCCAAAACAACAGAGATTTGTTATCTCACAGTTTTTATGGGATACCCATGGGAACCCACAGTTCCAGGCATACCTTGCTGGGTGCTCTTACTCAGGATCTCATAAGGCAGCAGTCCAGGTGTTGGCTGGAGCTGCAGTCATCTCAAGGGTGGGGTTGAGGGGAAGATCCACTTCCAGGCTCACTCAGTGCTATTGTTAGGATTTAGACCCTCACAGGCCGTTGGGCTGAGGGCCCAGTTCTTTGCTGGCTGTTGGCTAGAGCCCTCCCTCACCTCCTGCCACGTTGGCCTCTCTGTAGGGAAGCTCATCAGGCTTCCCACAGGTTGATCAAGAGAGGGTGAGCAAGAGGGAAGACAGAGTCTTTTTGTAACGTCATCTCAGAAGTCTTCACTAGGATCTATCTTAGGAGTTGACTGCAACAATGCAAACCCCACATATACTTCTTTTGTTATTATCTAAGTGTCTCATGTATTTAGGTCCTTCCCCTACAGTTGGTTTGTAAACCTCTTGCAGAGAAAAATAACATAACCTTTGTTATCTCCACTATAATGCCTAGCACAGTGTCTGCAGATAGTTCATAGACACTATTTGTTTTTTTAATTAAATGTGAAGAGTTCTTATATAGGCATGAGTGGGTACATACATGTGTGCACATTTGTGTACATCTGAATATCTGCTATGTTATTCTTTTTGTCAAATAGTATTAGTAGCTTGAAGAAAACTACGTCTTTACCATGTCTTGTTTCCTTATCCCATCATCACAGCATTCTCATTTTAACATCACTCAGTATGCTTAACAATTATTTCTGTTAAAATTTCGTACAAAGCCTGGCCCATAATAGTTGCTCAAATTTGTTAAATGAACGTGTATAATAATTTATTTTTTAGCGTTTTATTATGGGAAAAATCAAGCTTATACAAAAATAGAATAATATAATGAACTCTGGGGATCTGTCAACCAGCTTCAACAATTATGAATGTTTTGCCAATCTTGTTTCATTTCTCTTCCCCCACTACCCCCAAGAGTCATTGAATGTAAATCTCAGACATTCTGCTATTTTACTCATAGATACTTAAATATGCAGATAAAGATTTTCTTAAAAAGAATTAGCTTCCATGCCACTACCATATCTAACAGAATGAGCAATAATTTCTTAATATCATCTCTTAACTATGCCATGTTCAAATTTCCTTCATTGTCCAATAACTTTTTATAGTTGGTTTGTTTTAATTGAGATTCAAACAAGGTCTATACATTTTATTTGATTGGTCAGTACATTAAGTCTCTTAATTTCTAGCAGATTGTGGAATGAATATAAATGGTGAGTTTTGCTTAAATAATATGGTGGATTTTCTTGTTTGTTTAACCTAGCATCCATTTTCCCTTCATAGTAGTTTCCTCAGGAGGAATTAGTTCTTTCCCAGAAGACCTAGTTATAGTCTAGAATAATCTGAGGCTGACCCAAGGAATCCCTATCAGAGGTTTCTTCCCCTGAGATCTTGAGCATAGAGACAAGGCTGTTGAAATACCATTTTATCTTAGTGGCCACGTTCTGACTGAACCTGCTGTGGGTCTCTGGAATCCCTGCCTTTTAGCTGCCAGAGATTCACCCTGCCTGCTTTCAAGCATAGTTCTGTGGGCTCCTAATAGCCTTCTAACTAGTGTCCCTTTTGCTCAAGTAAACCAGTTTCTTTTGCTTGCATGTAGAGACCTCTAACTGATAGAAATATAAACTATTCAATAAGGTTACTATAATCATTCTCTTGGGAGTCCTTATGTTGTTTCTATTCACATTTTCTCTAATCTGACTTCAGTCTTCACACTTTTTTATTCCTCAAATTATTACTTTGCCTTTTCTATTCAAATTAGCATATTCATCTTTGTTCCATTTTTATTGAATTAAACTAAAAGGAAACTCCCTAATACTGCTATAATACCGCTAAGGTAGTGTGTAACACTGGCATTTGGCTAAATTTGGGACATCACTGCTCTGTCAGAATGTGCCTGCTTGTTTGGCAGCCAGCTTGATTGAAATTAGAGTTGTCTGACCCACCGATTACCTTTAAAAAGAAACAAATCTGTCGAGTTATATCTATTCTATTCTGTAAACACGAAGTCTGAGGAAAATTCGCTTCTCGTAGCTTTTCTGTTGGAAATGGAACCTGCAGAAAATCGTGTTGCAAATTGTTCTGTTAGTGGCAAAATAAATTCTCTCCAGGAATTCTTAGTGTTTTTAGCTAAAGATCTGGTTTTCTCACACTTTTAGCCTCACCTTACTTAATGGATTGTACCAGTGAATAATGGACTCCTTTGAATGTAAATATTCTTGTGTGGATTTATTGCTGGAATGATTCTAAACATTTAATAAACATATTCAATAGCCTGGTACTGATGCTGTGATAACTTTGTAAATTCAATAAATATGAACTTCCAAAATGTCATATTTTTAAGCAATGTGTAGAAATGTCTTTGATAAAGATCCTAAAGAGATTTTGTGAAAAACAGCAAATTAAGGACATTTTTAAGAGCGCTTTCTAAATGAACAACAATAAAAATGTTTATAAATATGTTTAAACTTCAATTATGTTAAAACTAGGAAAGCTGCCACCTCATGTCACAAACTCTAGAGATTAAGACAGATACAAAATTTTTTTTTTTTTTTTTTTTTTGAGACAGAGTCTCACTCTGTTGCCCAGGCTACATTGCGGTGGCGTCATCCTAGCTCACAGCAACCTCAATCTCCTGGGCTCAAGGGATCCTCCTGCCTCAGCCTCCCAAGTAGCTGGGACTACAGGCATGCGCCACCATGCCCGGCTAATTTTTTCTATATATTTTTAGCTGTCCAATTAATTTCTTTCTATTTCTGGTAGAGACGAAAGAAGAAAAGGAACAATGTGGAAGAAATAGATTAAAAAATACAAAGGGATATTTACTCAACAAAATGGAAGAATTATGTTTGCCACAACTACTTCACACTATCAGGGATATTTGAAAGAAACGTTGGGTGAGGGGAGATTTCGAGACAAGATAAGACAAGAAGATAAGATTATAGGAAACCATTAAGGCAAGAATTTTTAAGACAGACCAGTGATATAAAAAGTGAAAAATTCAGAGTGGCTGCAATAAGCAAAATTGACATTGCAGAAAGAGGGGAAAAAACCATGGAGTAAAGATTTAAAAATCATTTGGAATGCAGAAACAAGGGATAAGGAATAAGAGACTACGAGAAGTTGATGTAAACTGTGGAGAGCAGAAGAACAGATAATTGCCGAGACTGACGAAGGGAGCAGAATAACTATTTCTGAAGGTAATAGGAGAAATACATTTAAACGTTTTATTCAGAGACATATAATTAGTCACTAGTAAAATAAGAGCAGGCTGTATACTGTCTAAATTGCCAGATTTAAAGACAAATTTTAAAAAGATGAAACAAAACTTTTCCATATAGCAAAAGAAGGGAGATAGGAAGGAAGAATAAAAAATATAAAATGACTTATAAGACAGACAATTAAAACCTGTGTAAATGGGATAATCTCATCTGTTAAAAACTCAAATCGAGTAAAAAAAAAAAAAAAACCACAAACCTAAAATAGCCTAAAATTTAAACGAAAAAGATAGACAATGATATTTCAGGAAAATGTAAATAGAAGGTTGAAAGCATTGCAATATTGTGATCCAACAGAATTCAAGATAAAAGTATTACATGGAAATGGAAAACTTTATAATGCCGAAGGGTACGATCTGCCGTTAAGACGTAACTCTCTGGAACTAAATAGTGCATTGACTATACCACTGAAACATACAAAGGAAATCTATAGGAAAAGAAAAGATAATTGACAGGGAAAATATTACAGATATTGTATGAATGCAGATTCTCCTGGCTCACATCCAGTATGAATGGATAATTAAAATTTTCCTTTAATTTTTTTCTTTCAGTTTTTCTGACTAGACTTTACAACCACTGTATCCTTTCTGTTTGAATATGAAGTATTCGGTCCATCAAACTTTGCCCTCAGCAGACCATCTCATCTCCTATTTCACAAAGAAAATAGTGGCCAGAAGACTTAAGTAGCCTTCACTTTCTACCTGCTCTCCCTCATAAGTAGCCTTGATTTTCTGCCTGCTCTCCCTCACCTGTGAACTGTTCCTTTCCACAGCAGAAGAGACACTTCTCATACTAACACTAATGCTTGCTATCTCCCTTGCTACTCTCGTGGTGTCGACATCTTGTCTCATGCTGATTATTAACAGACCTGTCTCTCAAGCTTGGGTCTTTCCTGTGCACACACGCCAGAGCCATCTGCTTCCTGTACTTCTGTCTCTTGGATGTCCATCAAACATTTCAAACTCATCATTCCCAAACCACTTTCCTCCCTGCCCTCGCTCTTCCTCTAGAATTCCTTACTTCAGTGAATGGAGCCCTATTCACTAGGAGGCTCATTTCTCCTCCTGAGGGATGTGGGTAGTGATTGGTGGGAAATGTAGTTAACTTAAAAGAATATATTCAAGATTTTGTTTGAATTGTGAGCTCACCTGTATTCTGATTTTTTTGGCTGTGGACAAAAACATTTTGTCATTTTTATTTACAAAACCAGCCATGTACTCATCCTTTTGGTAAAGTAACATTTGGGAGAATTCCCTCTATGACTGCTACTTTTTGGCCCCAAATTCATGCCTTTGCCATCATTTGGGAGTGAGAAAGTCATTTTGTCTTCACTTTGAATATGGGAAGCAGCATTCTCCATTGCTCAAAGAAGACATAGAATCATAAAAACAAATTTAGGCTGGGTGCAGTGGCTGATACCTATAATCCCAGCACTTTGGGAGGCTGAAGTGGGAGGATCACTTGAGGCCAGTAGTTTCAAGACCAGCCTGAGCAACATAGTGAGACCCTGTCTCTACAAAAAATTTTTAAAACATTGGCCAGGCATGGTGGTGCACACCTGTAGTCCTAGCTACTCAGGAGGCTGAAGCGGGAGGATTGCTTGAAACCAGGAGTTCAAGGCTGTGGTGAACTATGATGACATCGCTGCCTGAGCTACAGAACAAGACCCCGCCTCTAGAAAAAAGTTAAAAACCGTGGAAAACAATAAAAAAACATAAGAGCAGAACTACTAGGGTGGGGAGTTGGTGCTGGCGGTGCTTGGCTATGAGCAGAAGGAGCAGGGGAATGAAAACAGGCTGTGTCTATAAAAGAGCAGGGTACACATAAGCAAGTTGCAGCCATGCTTTCTTTCACTCGTCGACAATAGTAACTATCTTTACAAAGCATTGTAAGAAAATGTAATTGTTTATTAAGAATATATTTTAAAAGGAGAAGCTCCTCTTTGCCCTCCTGAGGAAAAATAAACTGTAAAGTTTCAAAGAATTTTAAATTGCCCTTTCTTACCCATTAAAGAATAAGAAGAAACTATTCACTATTTTAATTTGGAAGAGTTTAAGAACATAATTTTGACCATTAATTGGGTACTGTAATATTTGTCCTGTATTTCTCCTTATATTTTCTATTGTAACTATGGTAACAAATTATTCTTTAGAGTCATCTGAATTTAGGATTCTCAGAGGTGCTAGTGGATGGTGTATGTGTGAGAGGGATTTTTATGTTTCTGCAAAGGGAAATAAGTGGATTACTGAGATTGTAGCTTTATAGTCTGAATATTGCTTTAAGAGTGTCTAGAATTGTTGGGGCAGGGATGAAGGTTGAGAACCACAGATTTAAGATCTTAAGAAAAGCCAGGACCGGAAAGATCTGTTCTAGTTATATTTAGCTACTGAATATAGCTAAGTGTCATTTGAAAACATTTTTCTGATTCTTTATCACATTTTATTGAAGGTGAAATATTATTGCCTTGGAGGGAAATTCCTAATGCCACAGCATAAAAGGACCAGGAGCAACAAGTGTGATGTAATTACTAACACTTAAGATATGAAAGCCCTTATTTTTACAATTAGTATGTTGAACCAAATTAATAATAATAAATCTTCTCAGTGTTTAGTGAAACAATTTTTTATTTTATCAGTTTAATATAAGACCATGGAATAAAGTCTCAAGCTAAGCCAAACCTATTACTTTAAGACATTTAAAAATAGGCTGTGTTTTTACCCTCAAACAAGGTGCATGCCAGAGTATATGCCCATTTTCTCCCAGGTCTACTGCTTGCTAGTTGCTGGCTGCAGGTGCATTTGCTTCTTTTTAAGGGAGTGGCATTTTATTCTTTATCCCACGTGTCAAATATCACAACTCACTGACATTGACCAATCAGTATCCAATGGATGTTTATAATAGGTAAGGTGGTAGCATACCACTTACAGGTATTTTTGGTTTTAATGTGTTGAAATGCTAGTAGTTTAAACTACTTTGTAACCAAGCGTTTGAGCAGGGGACAAATTCTTAACAACTTTCTTAATTGGCCTCTTTGTTTCTGAACTCCCATCAACCAAGTACCATAATAAAAAAGACAACTACTTGAATATCCTATTTCATTTAGAGACAATGGCCTGCAAGATCAATGTTTAATTTAAAATATCTTGTTTTCTTTCCATTTATATTTTCTGTTAGGCATTAAGGCTGAGACACACCACAGTTGTAACAACAAAGAAAAATGTTGCAGCCTTAAGACGTGAAACTTACACAGAGGATTTTATTAAAAAGCAGATTGAAGAGTTCAACATAGGAAAGAGACATTTAGCCAACATGATGGGAGAAGACCCAGAAACTTTTACCGAAGAGGATGTTGATGTAAGTACTATTACTCTGTTGTAAAAGTAATTGCTGTAGAGTTTTAGATATCGAAAGGACTTTTCTTCAGTATGAGCCCCTTAGCACATGTAAGTTTTAATCAAACTGTCAGAATAAGGAAAAAATGTTATTATACGTTGCAAGTTGGAGCCATGGTTTCAAGGAGAGATTCCACTGTAGTAGAAGTACTACAAAGCATGGTGAATTCTTTATTTTAACTAGAAATGGTTACTTTTGGGGATTCAAGGTCATAGGAGCCGCTGAGAATGCTTATACTGTATTTGGAAACATTTATTCTGTTGTGTAGTCTTAGACTCAGCTGTCTAACAAAATGATAAAACAGATGGTAATAGAAATAGTCAAGTTTATAGGAAATCCCATAAATAGACCTTGGCCTAGTGTTTTTATCAACTTAAATTTATATTTGAATTTTCAAAATGAGGGCATGTTCTAGGTGACTTGAGAATTAGGATCAGAATTTTGTTCCTGTTCCACTTTTGAATTATATTCCTGATAAAAGTAATAATGGTCAATAATACTTTTTTGCTAGATGCCTCAAGGTAGCTAGTAAAGTAACTTAAATTTAATAACTTTGAAGCTTGTCCTAATTTTTTAAAAGTAACATCTAACATCCCATGACATTTTATATTTAACTGAAGAATAGCATCTTCATGTATAATAGATTTAAC